TTTGCATTTGGCGGTTGGAATTTCCTTAATTTTGTCACAGAAGAACTGCAAGATCCTTACAAGTGAGTTTATTTATTCATTTCATTTATTTATTTCGTTCGCGTGAACATTTTTTCGGGTTTTCCAGTTCTCACGTGTTAAGGCGAGTTCATATTAGAACGATTGCGATAATATTTCTGCGTTTCCGCAAATTTGGCCCAATTGTCAAAATACCCTATTCATGTTGAAGCGAGCAATATCTAGGGATTTTATTGTTGAATTTTAAATTTTATTACATGAACCTTAATGATGACATACGACTCTTACGACTTTTAAGACTAGACCCCATCATATCAGAAAATAGGATTAACAATTTACTCAAGTTTTGTTTAATACGAGCGTGTCTTCAAACCACTCCACTGACAACTCAAATACAGGAGCAAGGGGTTCTTTTGCAAAATGAGTTTTCTTTAATGAAGGGCCAACCAAATTCAATAATTTATTGAATAATGGGAGAGTCAGCCAGAAATATTTGAAATATTTCTCTGGATAACTAATTCTCATTTCAGCTACAAGGTTGTGATATGCTCCATATTTTCTCCTGTTTTTGAGAATATTTATCACGCCATTATGACGTGGTTTTCTCAATGGAAGCTTTATATATACGGTAAAGTTGATATAATTTGAACAACCTGACACATTCGTCCAATTCGGATTCAATTTCGATGTATGGTCTTAAAAAACGAGAGTCAAATAAAATAGCAATATAACCTATTGTATGTTGACGTATAAAATTTTGCGGAAATCGCAAAAAAGTTCAATTTTTTCAACTTTTTCACGATAAACACGACGCCATTTTAAATCGCACTTTTTATGCGATATTCGTTCCAACATAAACTAGCCTTTAGCCTATCTTCGATTAATAGGGATATAGTGTTACTATTTTTTGGGTTTGAAAGGAGTTTTGACGTATTTGACAATACGTCGTTAGAATCAATCATCCAGACGTCCAGGGATCGACAAGACAAGCTGGACGCATGCTTAGGGGAAGATTGGTATACAGGCTGATTCACGGTGGATGGCACATTAGACGTTTCTGGTGAACCAGACAACGGATCACTTTTATATATTTTTACAATAATGCTTTCGTAATCTAAAGTTAGGCCGTCTGCAGCAGATTTTATAGCATTGTGAATGATATGGGCTCCACATCCGATACCTATCAACGTTTTTTTTAGAGATGATTTTAGAAAACGGGACTATTTTACGTCCCAGATCATTATTTGGGTACAACGGGACAGATGGTCGAATAAAGGGACAGTCCCGTTCAAAACGGGACGCCAGGTCACTTTAGGCATGAGCCAACTGATATGCCGACATCCACAGAAACTTCTCTAATAACTTATCTCTTCATCGGTTGTGGATGTATTGAGGCGTCCAGGGCGAGCGCCGTCATTCGACCTTTTTGTACCACTTGTAAACATTTTTCTGACTCGGAATATAATCACTGTATGCCACTGTCAACATTTCAAGTGTTTTTGAGCACTTCATTTCATTTCTTACACAATATTTGATGCAAACTCTTTGATCTATTTTTTTTTTAGTATAAAATCTCCGAATACGCAAAATACTTCTAACCACCAACAAACCAATTATGCTAAACAGCTGATACTGCGAATGTATGATCGAAACAAGTGTACCAACATATAAAAATGAAAAAGTCGCTAGTTGAATTCACATAGCCCGCGAAACTTCAACACTCACATTACTTTTTGAACAGACCTCGTATTTCGTTGTTCTCCGATATTCCTTAATCAAAAAGTATTTGGATATTTATATTGCCAGCCTTATTTCATCTTCGTGTGCTTGCTCACCATCCTAATACAAAAATAGTACGCGCACTGAAAAGATAACTTCACGCATGTTGAAAGGTAAACGCAAAGTGTGATGTCATACGCTGCCCTGCTTCGCTGCCCACGATACACGAGTCAGCACAAAGTGAATGTAACTGTGCCGTGCTTTTTGCCATGTCTCTTCTGTTTTCTTATGCAATTATATAGAGCCCAGTGAATAAAATGTATTCTGTTTAAATCACGAGAATGAGTGAAAAATTAATGAATGGAAGTGTCACCGGCGAGTGTGTCCCCGAGGAAAAAAATGTAGTTAAACTACAACGAAAAATCACACTCACAAATGGGGTTTCGATAATAGTTGGAACAATAATAGGTAGTGGAATATTTGTGTCTCCCACAGGTGTTTATCTCGGTACAAAATCCGTTGGTCTTTCTATTATTATTTGGTGTGTTTCTGGGTTGTTTTCCACATTGGGAGCGTTATGTTATGCTGGTAAGTAGTTTCTTTAAATAATCATAACGAAATGAATGAAAATATTGCAAGCGTTTCTCTTGAGTGCCAAAAAGTGATAACGGTGATAACAATTAATTATCGGAAGAGGTACGGAATAATATAAGTACATGTCCGGTTTTAAAGTTTTCTGCTGTTGCATCATGAAAAGGTACAGTAAGAAGCTAATGAAAAATTAGTAATGATGGTGAATGTGTATGTGTTCAAATTCAAAATTTTTCGCGAAAAACTATAAAAATCTATATTGTGTAGCCAGTGGCAGCGCAAGACCTAAATTTAATGTAGGCAAGGTACATTTTGCAAGGCCCTCCGATGATACAAGAAGAAGAGATTATAAAATAAAAAACTTGAAATTAAACAATTTTGTATTCAATAAAAAACACTTACCAAAATTTCTACTTCTGTACTTTTTGGAACATTAAATAACAAAATANATACAGCCTATTTTCAAATTCTGCACGAACTTTGGCAAATGTTGTTCTAGTAATGGCACGACATGCTTGCGTAATTCTTTCTCGTAATTCCCTAAGTGACGCAGGTTGAGTTTTATAAACAACTGACTTGAGGTGACCCCACAGAAAAAAGTCAGGTGGCGCCAAGTCTGGTGATCTCGGTGGCCACACAATGGGACCTCTCTTTCCAATCCATTTGTTCGGATAATCAGTATCCAACCAGTGCCTAACTGGAGCTGCATAGTGAAGAGGTGCTCCATCTTGTTGTGTTTCAAGCATTTTTCGATATCAGTTTTCGTTTGTGAGATATAGCCCATTGTAAGTTTTAAAATTGACACACTGTATAACATAGGTTATCAGAAAAAGAAAAATATTCACGAATTTTTCATTCATACACTTTCGTGCGCCGAAGTGTGAAGTATCTTTAGGTTGATAATTTTTAATGTACCTACTTTTTATTAAAAAAAAACATTGTGTTTACTTGTGGATTTTCAATACTTTGAAAAAAATTTTTTCTACTTTGAGGCGCAAAGCCCTGTGCACCGCGAGGCCGTCGGCGCGGAAAAAGTCGCAGGAGACCCAATCTGGGGAATACGGTGGCTTGTCTACTTGTCTCGTCGTTCCATTTGGATTCCAGGACATCGGCTGCGGAGGCACATCTTCACCGGCAGAAGGAAGTTGCAAATCTTAATATGGATCTAGAAGTGATTTCGAATTGAGGTGGAAGTAACCAGGTTCAATTCAATGGCACAAAAACCTAGGCCAGTGACGGCTCGTGCATTGGAGAACAGGGGAGGCTAAAGTCATAAAGACTATATACACACAAAAAAGCCCGCTGGAGGCGCGAAAATCTTTTGGGGCACCGCACCTATTTAAAGCAAAATACGTAGTATTTGCATAAATGCAAACAAAAATTGTGTATTGCCGAAAATTATACGTATAAAAATGACCATTAAAAAAACAACAACTCAGTCAATAAATGATACTTTTCTCTTCTAATATAACAGTTTTGTTAAAAATTGCTACAAATATTTTATAAGCACAAGTATTTAATTAGGCTTATAAAAACAGGTCTAAGAGTAAATTTTATTGTCCAGCAAGAACCAATGGGGTAGAAAGGAAGGTTAAACCTGGTTTGTTTAAGTGAATTCACAAGGTACCCGCAAACTACTTTTAATCGGCGATCATCCAAGTTCAATATAGTCTGCGGTCCCGCATTCTGAAAGGTGATTTGAAAGGTGTATTTTGTAATTTTGGATAGTAAAAAAGAAACTAAAAGTAAACATAACATTCGTTTTTAACCAAGACGATATAGCTGTTGCTATATTTTGTTTGCTAAACAATTTCAATTTAC